TATGTCTCTTTTTTCAGTGTTTTCATGCAGTTCTAATAGTTGGAGTTTAGTTCACTTCTGTATTCTTCCTTTTAAAGTTCAGGGCTCCAGGATTATGTTCTGTATCTGTGTTAACTGGTTTCTCTTTTCTTTGTGGAAGAGGGTCTGTGTAGTTTGTCTGCCTATTCCACCATCTTACTGGAACCAGCCTCACTGGTCAATTCTTTGAGAAGTGGATGGCCCCTTCCTTATTCTGAGTCTGTTTTAGTCTCAGAAGCTCCACTGAAACCTGTTCACCATGGGTGACCCTGATGGAATTTGAAATACTGGTGGCATAGCCTCCAGTGTCACAGAAACATGCAAGCTAACGCGGTATGACAAACTGAAAGATGAGTGGTGGGGACATATATGTGGAGAGGCTAAATGATCAAGTATGTCTAGACAAGGGGATATATCCATGACCATATATAAGTTTGGCACATGTTGTTTCTACATATGTATTTGTATGTACTATAAAAATATCCATATATATAATAAAAGTAATGGGGGAAAGTTACAATAGCTACTTAGCCACAGCCCAACACTCCGATGGAATGAATCACTGGGCCCATGGGCTTGGGGCCATGGTCACTGGGGACATGAAGCTCAACTGGCATTACATACTACACAAAACATTTTTCTATGTTCTACTTTTGGTGAGTAGCAACTCAGATGTCAATATCTTGCAAGCATCTATCTAAGATGCACTCGTTGGTCTCTCCTCATCCAGAACAAAGAATGAAGGAAACCAAAGATGCATGGAAACAATTAGTCAAAGGGACTAGTTCATGTAAATCTCAGCCTACATGACCCTGAGACCAGAAGAACTAGATGGTGCCTGACTACCAGTGTCAACCACTAGGAAAGGGATAAAAATAGGAGATCCTGGATAGTGCGTGAGAAAAATGTGGCTCAAAACTCAAAATCATAAAAAAAAAGACCGGACATACTGGTCCAATAGAGACTAGTGAAATACCTGAGACTCTGTCCGCTAGTTCAGGCCTAGAAATGAACTCACTCCTGTGGCTTTCATCCAAACCATAGACAGGAGTATAAGGTGAAAATTTACACCAGGTAGTTATGCTCCTTAGAACAATCCACCATTGGAGATCAGAAGGGTAGTATTTGCGCAGGAACATAGATCATAGGGCAGGAAAAAGGACCAAGGGAAAAAGTAACCACAAGGAGAAAGGGGGAAGAGAGCTGTTACATTATGGGGATTGCAACCAATGTCATAAAACAAAATATTTAAGAACTGATGTGTGGAAAATGGATATCCTCTGTAAACTTTCACCCAAATCACAATTAAAAGAGAGAATGAGAGAAAATTAAAAAATAATTTAAGCCTTGAGTTGCAATATTGAAGGATTCTATTTGCAAAATATTGAATGGTGCAAGAAGCATCAAAAGAAGATGGAAGAAAAATCCAGAGTCACTGTACCAGGAAGAACTGGTCGACATTCAGTTATTTCACGAAGTTGTATATGATCAAGAGCCAGTGGTATTGAAAGAAGAAGTCTTAGTTACACTGAAGGAATTGGAGAAAAACCAGGCTTCAGGAACTGACGGAATTCCCACTGAGATGTTTCAACAAATGAATATAGCGTTGGAGGCACTTACTTGTTTATGCCAAGAAATTTGGAAGACATCTACCTGGCCAACCCACTGAAAGAGATACATATTTGTGTCCATTTCAAAGAAAGGTGATCCAGCAGAATGTAGATATTATTGAACAACATCATTAATATCACAGGCAAGGGAAATTTTGCTGAAGACAATTAAGAACTGGTTTCAGCAGTATATTGACAGGGAACTTCCAGAAATTCAAGCTGGATTCAAAAGAGGACATGGAACAAGGGATATCATTGTTGACGTCTGATAGATCTTGGCTGAAAGCAAAGAATATCAGAAAGATATTTGTATTTTATTGACTATGCAAAGAATGGGAATTCCAGAACACTTAATTGTACTCATGAGTAACTGTACAAAGTCCAAGAGGCAGTCATTCAAACAGAACAAGGGGATAACGCATGGTTTAAAATCAGGAAGAGTGTGCATCAGGATTATATCTTTCACCACACTTATTCAATCTGTATGCTGAGCAAATAATCTGGGAAGTTGAACTTTATGAAGAAGAATGTAGAATCAGAATTGGAGGAAGACTCATTAACAACCTGCAATATGCAGATGACAGGATGTTGCTTACTGACAGTGAAGATGACTTGAAACACTTACTGATGGAGATCAAAGACTACAGTCTTCAGTACGAGTTATACCTCAACTTAAAGAAAACAAAATCCTCACAACTGGACGAATAACCAGCATCACAATAAATAGAGAAAAGATAGAAGTTGTAAAGAGATTTCATTCTACTTGAATCCACAAACTACAATCATTGAAGCATCAGTCAAGAAATCAGACATCATATTGCAGAAGGCAAAACTGCTGCAAAAGATCCTCTTTAAAGTGTTAAGGATCTAAGATTTCACTTTGAAGACTAAGGTGTGCCTAACCTGAGCCCTGGTATTTTCAACTGCCTCATATGCATGTGAAAGCTGGACAATGAATAAGGAAGACCAAAGAAGTTTTGATGCCTTTGAATTGTGGTGTTGGCAAAGAATATGGACAATTACGTGGACTGCCATAAGAAAAACAAATCTGTCCTGGAAGAAGTACAGCCAGAATGCTTCCTGGAAGTGAGAACTGGTAGACTTTTCTCACCTACTTTGGTCATATTTTCAGAAAGGACCAGTCAATCATGCTTGGTAAAGTAGAGGGTCAGTGAAAAAAGGGAAGACACAGTGACTGCACAATCCCACAACAAACGATTGACACAGTGACTGCAATGATTGGCTAAAGCATAGCAAGCAATGTGAGGATGGCGCAGGACCAGACAGTGTTTTGCTCTGTTGTACATAGGGTCGCTATTAGGCAGAGCTGACTGGACAGTACCTAACTACAAAAAGAACATAAAAAGTTAATGTCCAGAAGTAACATTTTATTATTTCTGAAATAATTGCTTATTAAAGTCTACCATGATTTTTAAAAGCACTTTTTACAAAAGCCCATACCATTAGTAACAGTTTAAATTTGGGAGTTCAGTAACATAAAAGTAATTTAGAGTTCCTTCAGCTGTTAATTGCTTATTCTACGAAATCCACTTGACCTGTGTGAAGTAATATTTTTTTTTCTGTTCACATAGTCATTGAACTCATTCACTTAGCAGGGATCTTTTAAACATTTCCCATGTTGCAGATACTCTCCCAATGAGTATATGCCCCATTTGCTCAAATATATATATATATATATATATATATA